GGTTCCAGTTGGACTGGTTGGTTCGGAGTTGTACCAGCCGAGTTTTGTGAACACTAGTCCCACATTTCGATAAGGTTCAGCTATCACTAAACCAAAGATATATAACACCCATGTACACCGTACCCAAACCATCCTGCATTGCTGCCGTCCATGTAGAAAATAATGGTACCGTAGCTAAACAAATATGAGACCGTTTGTCTTTATTATAAGGGTGTGGTTTTTATTATAAGGGTGTGGTTTTCATAAGGTTGTAACATTAAATAATTTAATTAGGGTGCACCTTCAAATTTTATCACAACATATAATTTTGATTGTAAAATGTTCTGCGGGTTATCTCAAAATCTATTTTTATATTTAATTATACAATTTTAAATTCCAAAAATGGTTAAAATCAAGTAGATATATAAACATATGAAAATCTTGAAAATGGACGGTGCAGATAATATGTTGTAAGATGCATTGTTTTTGAGATTTCAAATCTTTTTATTTTTCCTAGTCATACATCTTGATGTCGAGATAATCAATCACAGGGTTTTTCAATATTAAAACAACATTTTTCAATGGATTTTTGATGTGCATCTGTAGTTCTACATTTTAAGGTTGCAATCTTATATAAACTTTTTCCTTATTATAACGAGGGTTCAATTACTCATAGCCATTAGATGTCAAATTAGATGGCTTGCGGTGTGTCATAAAGTTCAAAAAATGGTTTTTTTGAAAATTTAAGTATAATCAATAATACACTCACAACCATTCGATTTAAAATTGAGCAAACATCAATAAATGTAACCTCTTCGTACTAATAAGTAAATAGTGTCTTTGTATACTTTTCCAATAAAAAAAAACCAATTGATGTTGTATTTTAGGCTTCTATGTAGCTAACCTTTACATGGCATCTGATGATCACTTTGCATTAAAAGGCCCTCTCTTAAGTCGACATTGATTTTGGTACAGTCATCACAACCAATTGGGGTCTCAAAAAAAGGAGGGGAATTTAAAAAGCACAGGAACCCCTTGCCTTTAGGATATTCCCTCAACTTGACATGGTCCATGTTTTCCTTTTTGGATTGGCATGCTGAGATTCAAACCCTAGGTCCTATGAGTATATCTCTTAGGCAAAGGGTAACACTTAGGGGGCAAAAGTGTAGGTGGAAGTACATCCATAAACAAGAACATAATGTTTGTTTCATCTATGGTGTTTTTGCCGACCATCCTAGCATATGGGTCTGGGAATTAAAACATATGGCTTGGGGAATTGTTGTCGTCGTCATCATCATCATCTGGGCCTTATCCTATTTTGGTTAGGAGAATTGTCCTTGTTTGAAAATTCTGATATCATCATTAGTTTACTTTGTGAACAATCACATAGGAAAAAAAAAGTCGAAGTTATTTTAGCTCTTAAAACCCTATTTTAATCATTCTATGATGATCAAAAGCTAGTCGTAAAAAGAACTTGATTTGGAACAATGTTTTAGTTGCAAATCAACTTTTTTTTGTTTTCTCTCCTTTTTTACAAATCAACTTTCGGCGACCGAAATCTCCATGATGGCTTTAAAATCAACTTCCAACACCGACAATGAAATTCAGAATTTAAAAAATGGTATAGATCTTGCATATCTATGAACACTTGTTTATAGGGCAAAATGGAATATCTAGATAATTTGTTACAATATACTATTTTAAAGCTTGATTATTATTATTTTTTCATAACCCTAATGTTCAAGCCAAGATGATTGATGTAAAGACAGGTTTCTATGAGTCCATGTAGAAATGAGTCACCTCTTAAAAATCTATTTTTGAGATGGTTTTTTGGACCTAATTTTTAAGGACATGTAATCTCTAATATGGAGATCATGAATATGAAAAAATAAATAAATTTTAAAAATTAAAGATAATAATTCTATTAAAAAAACATTTGAACAGTTAGTTTCAATTGTTTTTAGATAGACCACTTATTTGCATCCACCTTTAAGATGGATGCTTCATACCTTGGGACCGCATATTGTAGAAATGCGGTCCAGCCCCATGAAACAAATTTCCTTGATGTAAAGGTTTAATAATGCTTGAAATGCAATTTTTTATGAGTTATGAGGTGAGGCTTTACGTGTTTTGATAGGGTTGCAGCCTCATCGAACCATTTTCCATCTATGTTATACAAATACTCCATCTTCACTCTCTTGGGACTTTTGATATGTTGAGACATGCTAACGACATGTTGTGTCTACCCTTTATAAAAGAGCCCACCTCAAAAATTTCACTTGAAGAAGTTGTTTTGATATCTAAATATCCTCAAATCGATCATCTCTACATCTTCAAATTAATCATCTCAACATCAAGATGCATTGGCATGAGAAAAAAATTGATTTCAATTTTTGAAAATAGTGCATCTTGTAAAGCATTTTTAGACCGTCAATTTTCAAGGTTTTTAAGTTTTCATAGATCTACTCAATCTACACTATTTTTGAAGGATTAAATTTTATAATTAAATATAAAAATATATTTTTAGGCTATCACAAAGATTTTTAGTATTGAAACCACTTTTTTCAACAGTATTTGAAGGTAGGATCTACTTTAATTGTTTTGAGCCTCGGCTCTATACAAACTGCACCCTTTTATAAAACATGTTTGATATTTAGACACGCCATGTGTCAGCATTAACTTCTATAAAATATTATTTCATTCCAAGGTTTTGAACCCAGATTATCATTTGACGCGAGACAAAGTGATCACAATGCCCTTAGATTAAGCGTCCACAAAAATTGAATTTTATATATTTTTTATTTAAAAACGATATTAATCTGAAATTTGGGATATAGCTTCATTTTTATAATTAGAATTGAATAAAAAATTAAAAATATTTAAAATGAGCAATATTGATTACAATAAATTTAGGAGTTGTATTTTTTTCCTTGAGAAATAATGTTCCAATAGTTCTTGGGTCCCAAAATGAAAAAAGTTTATATATCGTTACAGCCTTTTACTTTTGAAGTAACGTGAAGCTGAAAAATCCTATTAAAGAGAATATTTCGGCATTGGAAAACCCTTCAATTAATCATCTTGATTTCAAAATATACAGTCTTAAAAAATAATGCATTTTCTAACAAGTTATCTGAACACTCTATCTTCAAGATCTCCAAGTGTTTATTAATCCGCTTGATGCATATCATATTTTAAATATAAATTTTATAACTAAAGAAGAAAATAGATTGTCAAACCATTATACGGTTTCAAACACCCGGTGACATCTCCAAACAAATTTTAGAGGTGCGTCTTCTACCATACAAGGAGGCAATGTAGAAAACCTCGCCCTCCTAAAATTTATGATTCAGAAAATCCTCTCCAGAAGTCTTATGAGGGAGTAGATGAATATTATATGCGCTCGAATGAGCATAGTTAGCAAGTCCCCGTTTAAAGGACGGTTTTTTTTCAAAAAATCTCCGAATTTTTTAAATCTATCAAAAGCTTCGAGATATTCAAAAGTTCTTTAAAAAATAATTTTTTTTTGTTTTAATGTAACCGATATAAATCCGTATTTTTTTTTTACAATAATATAAATCCATATTTTATCTTTTTTCAAAATAACTTATTCCTTAGAACTCTATATCTCTATTAGTTTAATATATATGAATTCTTGATTAGATATAGGCACATTAAAAGTGGAACTAAATTAAGAATCTTTCTTTAACAAAATTTGTCATCAGAAATTTTTACCAATATGTTCTCTTAAAAATAGTGCAATATATTCTTAAAAAAATAATCCATCAAAACAACTAGATATATCAAAATATTGTTAAATTTGTCATCAGAAATTTTTACCAATATGTTCTCTTAAAAATAGTGCAATATATTCTTAAAAAAATAATCCATCAAAACAACTAGATATATCAAAATAATAGTTAGAGTTAGAGGAAGAGTAACCCAATGAAAATCTTTTTTTTCCCCTAAAAACTTAGCGTCATTAGAGAAAGATAGAGATTCAACGACAACTAAAGATTTAGGCAACTAAAAATTCATGACAAGCTTCGAATATTTTGCATTTGCTTAAGCATTTTGTAGCTTTTTTTTTTTGCAAACAAAAGTTTAATTAGTTTTACCTTTATATTTTATATAATTTCATTAGTTTATATAACATAACAATTTGGATGGACTATCTTTTTGTATTTTTGTGTTTCAGTTAACTACAATATAAATCTATATATATATTTGAAAGTTAACTACAATTCTTTATCGAAGGTCATTTTTTGTTTCTATCTTCAAACGATAATCCTATACCTTGGCTTCTTGTTGTCCTCTAATATAGTTCTTGTGTTTGATATTGTTTTTGTTGTTGTTATATTGTATGCTCCCAATAAATCTATCATGCATTTTATATTGTGAAAACATAGTAAATATTCTAGTTGTATTTATTGAAAGTTTCTACAAAAATTTGTCAAATACGAATAATGACATTAGATAAGGACACAAAAATTATAATGCAATGATCCAATATATTCGTACAATAATTGCATTTCATAATCTTATATTGTGTTACGTATCCGATTTTGTCATTCTATTTCTTTTAATAAAATCCAAAATAGTCACAATTCTCTAACTTAAATAATTTTTTAGCGATCCATATTTTTTACTCAATTTTTTTTATCTCCGATCTTTTGGAGCGAAACCAATTGTTTTGGTTTGCCAATATATTATTATGGATGGTTCTCTAAGTATACAAAGAGACCGTTTACTCTGATAGAAGGAACTTTTTTTTTTTGGTAGATAAATACAAGGAACTCACAATTGCATATATTCATCCGATATGAGATTTGATAGCTTGGATGAATTTAAAATTTATTTTTAAAATTTTAAAATTTAGTCAATAAAATAAATGTGACCAACTTATAAAAAAAATAAAAATAAATGATCTCATAGTATACTTTTTCCTTGCTGCGAATGATCTCATTGTATACTTTTTCCGTATCGCGCATGAGCATATATTGCTAACTATGGCAATGAGCATAGTAATACTCACTACACATCAAGGGCCAAGATGGGCTTTGGGTTGAAGGAACTAAACGAGCGCGACCCGGAGGAAGATAGAGAGAGAGAATCGGGTTCTCTCTGTAAATCTGCATCAAAGGAAGATAGAGAGAGAGAATCAGGTTCTCTCTGTAAATCTGTATCAAATCGGAGAGTTGGGTTGCCCTTAAATTTCCTGAAATCTCTCTCTTTCTGTCTCTACATAGATATTTTCCTTTCTCTCTCTAGATTCTAGAATATAAATAACTCTCGCACCCTCCAATGAGGGAGAGAGCAGTAAACTTCACAAACTCTGCTTCAGTATATGAAATGGAACTAGACCAGCACATAGAGAGAGTTCTATGGACTGAAGACAAGATAGCAAAGAGGGTTGTTGAACTTGCCTCTGAAATTTCTGAGGATTTCAAGGAATTACATTCTCCTCTGGTTGTAATTGGTGTATGCTCTTAAACCCAAGTTATCTCTCTTGCTTTTATTTTCTTTTTTCCTTTGATTTTATGCTTTTTTACTCTATTATATCACTTTTTTATGGTTTTTAGCAGTTGGGGTAGAAGTGATTACCATGAAACTTGTCTGCTCCTTTGCAGAGGGCACACTGTGTTGTTGAAAAATTCTTATTTTTTTCTCAGTTTTGGGTTTTTAACCTTATTTCTTATTTTCTTTTTATATCCTGACCATATTTATATTAGATTAGAGAATAGCACTTATGACAAATTTGTGATAGGTTAAGAGTGGTTATGAGAATTATTTGGCCATGAGTTTTTCTCTTTCCTTGTTTTTTACTTTATGGTTGCATTTGATTGTTTTTGCTTGTTCCCTTTGGTTATTACAACATTCTCATCAGGCAACAGAAGTTGTTAGATTTTTTTTTTTGGACATGTAGTATAGCTTATGCGACTTCTTTTAGTTACGAGACTTTTTTCTTTTACTTATTTTGAGCAATAGTGATATTGAGATTTGTCTTTAAAAAGGTAACTGTTGTTATACTTCCCCATTTGTATGTTATACTTGTCTTTGAAAGACTATTAATAATTTTTTTTGATGAAAGCCATTGATGAATTTTCCAAAAAATAAAAAAATTAATTACTTAAGGAGCCTCATTTTTGAGAAGCTATCAATGTTGTTTCCTTTGCAACACCAATTGATGTTTTGGGATATGATAATTCACTGCACATGGATTATTGGACAAACTTTATTTTTTATCATGATGATTCTCAGCAGTGGTGCTTTAGTGGATGCTAGAAATCCTACGTCTTGCTTCTTTGTCTTACTTATAGTGGTACTCACATTTTTCTTTTATATAAAGAGGAGGGTTTTTGTCAAGGTGTTCTCAGATATGGAACTAATCCAACAATACACAACTTCACGACCTACCTATGACTTTGATAACTTACAAACTGTTAAAATGATATTAAGGTTAGAGATATCTCAACTTCAACCGAGGATAATTCTGGGAGAGTGTGTTTTCTTTACTCTTTCTCTATGAGATGGCAAAGAGATCCATGAGGGAGGTAGAGATTTTGTTTGAATGCTCCAAATTGAACAATATTGTTGGCAGTCATTATATAAGTTTCCATGTATTCATAAATCAGAGTTTGAGTTGTTGTAACTGTGTAAGATTTTATTGAATCCGCTATTTTATTAATTTGTTTACGACACACTATATAGTGGTGTTTGCAACATATTATCTTATTTTTACATCTAATTTGCTATTTTTTGGGTTATTTCTGCGGAATTGTAGTATTCATAAGTTGTCATTTCAGCGTTTAAAAACTGAATAACTTAACAGTAATTTGTCCTGCAGGGTTCCCAGAAAAGAAAAAAAAACGAGCAGTAATTTGTACTATGACCTAGGAGATGATTATCTTTTCATTCTATTAACTTTTCTTTCTTAGTATCACTGAAGGGGAAATTTGTCAATAACAAACTATTGAGTACTTTTATTTCCTATTAGTGAGTGGTATTAATGGCACCTTACCAGTAGCTTCCATATTTGTTATTAAGGGATGCCAAATTCTCTTGATTTCTTCTCAAGCAGCATTCTGCCATGCAATATAGGACTAATACTTCTATGGCTATTAGTTACTTTATTTCCCAACCCTTCACATTGCTTTCATTGTTTATCTACATTGATGTTACAAAGTTTCAACTAGAAACCAAAATTTTGAAATAAATAAGTATACAACATTGTGTTCATCTTATCAGGAAACATTTGTGCTTAGGGATTAAATGATCATGGAAATTGCTCTGATATGTGGTCCTCTACAGGTTGCAACAGGAGCTTTTTTGTTTTTGGCTGACATTGTGCGCAAGATAACCTTGCCAGTCTTGGTTGATTTTATCCAAGTGCAATCCTATGGCTCTGGAACTACATCAAATGGTGCTCCTCAAATAGTTCATGATATCAAAATAGATATTCGTGGAAAGCATGTTCTTGTGGTAATGTTTTACCTTTCACAGACTATTTTTTTCTGATATAAAATACAAGATACATCTGGCATGTAATCTTTTTTATGTTTTCTTTTTTGTTGGTCGTGGTAATGTCATTAAACATATGAAACATCACCCCGGATGAATAAAAATTATTCAGGGCACATCTTATGTATGGTCTTATATTGTCTTCTTACTTTGTAATATTGTCACTATAACCGGTCCCTTTTTTCTTTTAAGAACTTCTTCAGGAGAGAAATCAGCATGGAAAATGTATTCAATTTTACCCATTCTCAAGATTATGTTACAATTACCCTAGTTTGTTGTAATTGTAAGAAAGATGTAAGGTTCCAGTTATGTTCGTTATTGAAAACCAATGGTGCCTCGCCTTTTGTTCCTGTTGTTAGGATAAAATTTCTTTGACAAACGTTGATTCATTAGATATCTAAACATTGTTGGTGAGATACGACATTATGGACTTGAGTTTGGTGGCCATATTCCTCAATCATCTTATTTAAAATGCATATGTGATGTATTTGTCCAATAAATTTTAGTTTGAAGAGCTCTTGAGTGTAAAGCAATTTATAAGGGTTCACATAATTGTGGCCAAATATGACTAATGGTGCTCTTTCCAAGTGTTTGAAGTTGAACTTTGAAAGTTTGAATTGACGAATCATCTATGATGATGGCATATGGATGTGTTCATTGTTTGTAGTCCAGAAGCAAAATGGAGATGCTATACAGATAGTTTCCAGCTGAGACACAGGCTCTTTAGGTTGATTTGGCAGTTTGGTGTTCATAGCTCTACTAATCATTTCATGAGCTACGTATGTAGTGAGCCATTGAGAAAACTTGTACAAAGTTATTAAATTAAGGGAAAGTATCAAAAAAGGGACTGAAACCCCTAACACTGTTGCTAACGGGGTTAAAATAATACAAATTACACTTGAGGGTATGCTTTTAAAATTCTATATTAATCATATACGTCTTCAATAAAAAATATTAAAAAATTCCAAAATTGCCCCTAGTTGCTGTTAGGAAGCCCGAACATTTAGGGGTCCTTTGATAATTTTACCCTCAAAGAGGCTTTAATCGAATGATAATTTGGGGTAAAATTACCAAGGAACCCCCAATTATTTTGGCTTCCCAGCACCGAATAGGGGCAATTTGAGAATTTTTCAACCTTTTTTTTTTTGAGGATGTACCTAATTGATTTAGAATTTAAAAACATAACTTCAAGTTAATTTGTAATTTTTTGACCCCTTTAGTGATATTTAATGGTATTTCAACCCCCTTTTTTTTTTTTCCATAATTTAAAGATGAAATCAACATTGATGAAGACCTAGCAAATATAGATTCAATTGGTGATTCTTAATTTTCCTTCTATATATACATAAGGTGAATATGAAGGGCTTGGTCTATTTTCATTTGACAGTTTCCTTAAGAGGGGGTTTTCCATCCAATTTTATATGATTTTTGCAGGACTTTGTTTGCAAGAGAATGTGAATGGTGCTATCACACTGGTGGTGTAGAATTATACATGGGTATGCTAAGTGCCCTTGACAAGTTGACATCTCTCTGATTACGAAAACAGGAACATGACTAAAATACTCATGCAAGAATGTGAAAAAGAGAATGTGATACCCAATTGAGAAAATTGATCTGAACTAATATATAAAATTTAACTACTTTAAAAGTATACTTATCTCTAAAACTCCCCCTTCAAGCACCAGTAGTTTTCCGTGATGGTGTTTCTAGATGCTTCAAATTGAGACTGTAACACTACTCATCTCTAGCGGAAGGGGCTGTCAAAGTGGCTATATTAAAGAGTACGCAGAGTAGTGTCTATGTGTTTTGCTTTTCATAATTAAAATTGAAGACTAGGTTTGGGATTGAAAAATTTAGGGGTATTGGGAAGAGAGCTAGATATCGTTACTGAAATCAAGAGGGAAAATACCCTGAAAGCCGCTAGGAGTGGAAATGTTCCATACGTGGAGGTAGGGCCAGATATCCTACCTAAAATGGAGAAGATAAGGGAAGCCGGGAGTTGGTTTTGGGAACAAGCTAAGTTAATAGCATTTCTAGACACGAGGGAAACCTAGGACAAGATTTAGAAGCAAGATATGGTGGTAGGCAACGTATAATAATAGAAACTGGTTGAGGCTAGGTCCTGGCTTCTTGTTGCCATAATTCATTCAGACTTTTTATTTTTGTTTTATTCTTGTTTTTATTTTTATTTTTTATTTTTTTTTGAAGTTGGTCATTTGGATAAAATGTTCCATGGGTCACATTATGATTAGAACAAGTATATACTTCAAAAATATAATGTTCTTTCTTTTAATCAATTTCGACGAGGTTTACAATGGAGCACATATTCATAATGGAAGATCTGCGTTCAAATTGGACATTGGTCAAGGGAATTTGTTTTTTTATTTTGTACTTGGGGCATATAAAGTACAATTCTAGAGATGTATTTTTATAATACCCTCTGTACATAATGTGAAGAGATAAAGACAAAGATGCCACTCATGCAGTTGATCTCTTATCTCAAAAAAAGTAAATGCACATATGTATCTTACACTGTAATTTTGGTTCTAACTTTTTCTTGCGCATTGATAGGATGGATGATTAGTTAATATGATCATGTTCAATTGCTTTGATGAAGAACAACACTGCTCTTTTGATTTCTTAGACCTCTACTTTATTCTGAAATCTGATGAAGTGACATTGTAGCCTCTATGCTCAGTGACTGGGTACATGCATGAAAGCATAATTCTTTTTTATGATAATAATATTTATAAAGGGAAAAGTGTACAACAAGACCATTTGCCTTTGCTACAAAAAGGTCACAATCATCCCTTGCCATCAGATGTGAACTTATGCAACTTGGAGTGTGCTTTTGACAGAGCTTGAAGTCCAAGATCTTTTATTTTATTTTTATTTCTTTTTGACTTTGTGTGGAGAAATTATACGCCCTAGCAGCCTGATTTCACATCCTAGGGTAGGCGATTATTGTTACCTGACCTTTTTGTACCAAAAGTAAACAGTTTGGTAGTATACTATCACTTTAGTGTATGTCATGCATAGACCAGAGGATAGGGCCCAAGTATGTACTAGCTGGGTGTCCAAATAAAGCACAAAGATAGTGGTGCCATTGACCATTGAGAGATATAGGCAAAGATTTGGTGCCTAGGTTTTAATGGGTGTTAGGGGACTGAACTACAATGATACTTTCAGCTCTACGTTGAAACTTGGATATATAGTGATGATGTTACCATGGGCATTGACAAGGCTCAGGTCTATTTCAAATGCAGGAAAAATTACCTCTTTTGCTTATGTATATAAAGTAGCCTCTTTGTTTTAACTAGGTGTAGTGTTAATTTAGGCAACCAATTTGTGGTCTAAAACATGCACCTAGCCAGCCATGTGTTGATATTTCAAAAGGTATACCATACCCTTCCTCTCAATGTTATATGTTACACATGTGGGGCATCCACTGTCCATTCTCAAAACAGACAGTGGTGATCAACTTACCACTGCCAAATAATCACCCAGGTGTGGTTAATCTCCTCCATCCACCTATCAGGCTATGTCATGAGAATCAATGTTCAAGTGTAATATATCCAAGTACTAATTTGTGAAATAAAGCCCCCTCACTTATTTTTATCATGATCTTGTTGATGTTGTTACCATAGGAAGATGTGAACATATGGAAAGTAACTGAAATACTCGGCAGCAACATTTAACTGAAAGACTAGGGCAATTAGCTCTGTTCTTGGTATGCTGCTTAATATCACAAAGCTACAGGACATGACAATAACCCAATTTGGCGTCATGTTTTAGTTGAATCATCTCCTTTGAATCCAGGCATTGGCTTTGCTTATCTCTTGTTCCTAATGAGCAGTTTCTGATGATAATTTTCTGTGGGCCAGGTTGAGGATATTGTAGACACTGGCAATACCTTATCCTGCCTTATTTCACACTTGGAATCACAAGGAGCATCCTCTGTTTCAGTTTGCACTTTTCTTGATAAGCCTTATAGGCGTGAGATCACTGTTGAATTAAAGGGGGAAGGGAAATTTTACCGTGGATTTGAGGTATTGTTCCTGTAACCCTCAAATTGTTTGAAGTCGATGCTTGTATTTCCTGTCGAATCACTAATGATAACAAAATAAACTTATGCCCTATGCCCTATGTTCAATCAGATTCCTTTTGCTCTGGCTTCTTTGGCTGAATTCTTCATGTTTTAGATCCAAACCAAAGGGGAGCAAAGTGAACGGCTCCTTGATATATTTAATTATTTGAAAAATGTGACTGGGACATTTAAAATTGGACACGGTTTCTATGAGGCCAGCCCGCATATTGTAGAAATGCGGGCTTGGCAAAAAATATATTTTTTAAATATAATCTGATCCTAATTTTTAGATAATATACAATCTTTAACATGGAGATCATGGATATGAAAAAAAAAAAAAAATTGAAAACTAGAAATAATAATTATATTAAGAAAACATTTAGACTGTTAGTTATTATTGTTTTTAGATGGACCACCTATTTGCATCCATTTTTAAGATGGATGCTTTATACCTCTGGACTGCATACTGTAGAAACGCGGTCCAGCATGCATGAAACCTTTGTTCTTTAAATTTTGATACCTCTACAAAAGTAAAAGTTTTGTAGAACCACCTCCATGATGTTCAGGATTCAGAAAATATACGTTATACATTAGTATGTTTTAGAAGGAGCCTATTGCATTCACTTTGTATTGTTTTATTTTTAAAATACACATGAATAGTTCTCCTAAATCTGCTGAAGTGCTGAAGCACCTTTGCCAGCTAGAACAAACACCCCAGTAAAGAATTTAATGACATTGGTTTAAATTTCACATTGGCAAATGACCTTAAATGCCACCACCCAAAATTGATTTGCTATTGGAGGTGGGGCAAGAAAGAGAAATAGTCGAGGCTAACATGCTCTCTTTGTTGGGGTTACATTGATAAGTCGATATCTGCGTTTGGGAAAGTATACATCAGGAGCAATTACTTCTGATACCAAAAGGTTATAGTCGCCATAAACCATAAGATGTGAAATCAAGCTGTTGGGGGTGTACCATTGATTGCACTCAAATTTCAGAGAAACTTCTCCTGAATTTTGTGAGGAACAAATTAAACAGCCTTAGCGTTCCAATTTTGAATTAAAGGCTATGGGTGGTAGCAATCTTTTGGTACGAAATGTAAGTAGTTCTTTGGTGTATATAGTTCCTTGCTGTTTACACCTATAGGTGTATAATCCCTGTTTGTTTACGCTATATTTAAAGAGAAGCCAGCAATTCTAATAATAGGGTTTTGTTGATGCAGTGTCCGGATAATTTTGTGGTGGGTTATGGTATGGATTATGCTGAACTCTACAGGAACTTGCCTTATGTGGGGGTATTGAAGCCTGAATTATACGAATGATTTGGTTCATGGAGCGTCTTACCATTCACATAAGCTAAGAATTTTTTTTGTCGATTTATATTGAATAACGACATTTCATACTCAATAATCTGATTTTTATGTCCCTATGTCATTTCATTTCTCTAAAAGTTATGGTTGATTGCATATTTTAATTTCATAGTATTGAATTGTAGAGGTGTGATTCCTGTTTTGAGTATGTGATAGTGAGGGGAAAACTTTGTATTAATATGTACAGAGACGTAGGCTATCTGATTTTTTAGCAGATGACCCTAAGCTGAGCACAAGTTTTGTTTGGTCCAAATCGGGATTTAAAAAACGCCGGGATTGGCACGGAATCGCCTGGTTTGACACGGGAATCGGTCATCCCGTTCTGATTCTGTCACTAGAAGAGAACTAGCAATTTGCAACAATAAAATGATGTTTTTTCTACAGTAAAAGCGCTGTTTTACTACATTAAAAATGCCAATTCACCGATTTAGACCGGTTCGTTATTTGTGCATGTGTTTTTTCTTCGATTCACTTTTTTTTTTCTGCAAAGTAAAACGGCAATTCGAACCGCCAATTCATCGATCCATACTTGTTTTTCCGATGCCCGATCTTGGTCACCGATCGGTTTTTTTTAAATCACGTGTCCAAATCAATGCTAGCGCCATAGAAAAGCGTCAAGTCAATTACTCTGTGCTATGTTTTGTTGGGTGGGTCAGCGTTGATCGATTACCATGTGCTGTCTTTTTGTTTGGTGGCTCAGGGTTGTCTCATCAAGATGATCAGATGACCGATGTGTATAAACTCATCGAGATTAGATGACCGATGTGTATAGAGAAAAACATAAACTAATTAAAATATGGATACTTGTTTGGTGCGTTCCAACCCGCACCTGTTATTATGCGGGCTTGGAAATCTACACTATCCATATAATCAGACGGTGTAGGTTGTTCTCTGTCATGGAGGTAGGAAACGTGACCGGCAGCCCTGATCTCCCTCTCTTTATTTGTTTCTCACCCAAAAAAATCTATCCATTATTTTCTCTCTCTAAAACCGCCATACCCTCTAGGGAAACATGACAGGTAGAGGAACTCTTCTGTCTCCGAAACACCAACATACAACGCTTTTGTTCTTAGCCTATTGACTTCTCTCTGGGCTTCGATCTAGAAGAGTGGCCTTTCGAGCCGCAAAATCTTTGAATGTTTGAGGGCTTTTAGGCTCAAATCTTAAGATGAAGTAGACCTAGAGGAGGTTTCAATTGTGGGGTTTTGTTTGATGGAAAATGGTTGGAGGGTGAATCTGGTTTAACCATGGAAAACTGTTTGGGGAAGAAAGTGGCTATAATGATATTGGCGCTGTGAAACTTGCCGGATATGTGACTGCATCTCTCAGCCAATGCTCTGTAAGCAATGTAAAACTCCTCCACCAGGGTTACAAGCTCATGCCTATTTTTGTAAAACATCTATGCTCTCTTTGTAAATGAATCTGAATCTTCTTCTATCAATGTCAACATCAACCTCACCTTCACCTCTATGTCTCGGAGGTTATACTCCAGCCATTTCGACTGCCTATGTGGCCTGCCCACCACCATGAGTAGGAACTACTTGTAGCCCTCTTCAACATCTCTCTTTAACTTCATAATGAGTTGATTTTAATTCATAGAGAGAGAGAGAGTCTCCAACCGTGTTGCTGAAGGTGGCTCATCAAGAAAAGTGTGGACAGGGATTGAGACTTGAATATTTGGGTGCTTAGTTTTTATTGGATTGAAGTGGGGAGAACATATTAATTAATTTATTTATTTTTAAAATGTTAACCGTTGGTATTGGGCTAGCAATTTTTTGAAACAGTTAATAGTTTGGAAAGGGGTTTGCATTAGTAGAAATGGAAATCTAGCAATTTTTTGAAACAGTTAATAGTTTGGAAAGGGGTTTGCATTAGTAGAAATGGAAATCGAGACTGATACCCGAGTCAAAAGTGGTGTTATCACCTTAACCTCAACCCCATTCATAGTGGGGAGAGCATATTTCTGAGTAATTCATTAATACACAAACATATTTAAAACACTGTTTTGCAGGACTATATAATTTACATCTAAATTGTACTTATCAAAATTTTACTCTTATATTCTCATAAGTAGCGACTATGGTTGCCTGGATATGGGAAGTGCAGAGAGAGAGCTTTTATATGGTCCACAAAAAAAGAGAGAGAGATATGGAGAACCTTCTTCTTCTATAGTGGTTTTTAAAAACCATGGGCATAGAACTATTCCCACAAAACCACTTCCATGATAGAATTTCAACCTTGTCTCTCTGATGTTATTATGTTTAGTGCAATAAATGCTTCACCACATTTCCAAATGCTACTTTACACACTGATGCTTCCTATCATGTTATCCTTGTTTGTCCAGTTTGTTTGCATTCATTCAACTTTTTCTCCCTCTTTTTTACCAACATCATCTCTCTCTCACCCATTGTCGGAAAAATCGGGTTATTCAAATTCTAATCACCTGGTTAGCCTGGTAAAATCGGATCCAGCCACTTATCAGTTTTTGTTTTGGTGAATCGATTGGGTATTTCTAAAAAAAATTTAAAATTTATATAAAATCTCAAAAAATAAGGGATTTTGTTTGAAATGTATGTTTTTTTAAAAAATTATTTTGGCAAAGATTTAAAAATATTTTGGTATTTTTCCCATCTTTTTTTAAAAAATTCTTAAATACCCTTAGGCACAAATCGTTTTTTTTAAATCTATTTTTCATTAATTTCCATTTAGGTGTTTAATCGTTCTTTAAAGGGAAAAGTTTATATAGAGCTGAGGCTCAAACAATCAAATTGGAGCCCATCTCAAAAATTTCACTAAAAGAGGTTGTTCTGATGCCAAAATATCCTGAAATTGATTATCTCGACATCAAGATGCATGGACATGAGAAAAAAATGGATTTCAAGTTTTGAAAATAATGTATTTCGTAATGCATTTTTGGACTGTTAATTTTTAAGGTTTTTAAGTTTTCATAGATCTGTCTATCTACACTATTTTTTAAGCTTTAAACTTTATAAATAAAGATAAAAAAATATTTTACCTCTATCACACAAATTTTTCAGTATAGAAACCATATTTCTCAACACTAGCCGAAGGTAAGCTCTAATTTGACTGTTTACAGCCTACGCTCAATACAAACCGCACCCTTCTTTAAATATTTTATTAGATTTTATTTAATATCTTTTATATTTTTCTAACGTTTTCTAATGTAAGGGACTTATTCAAGTAAAACGATTGAACCGACAGATCCAGTTAGACTGATTGCACCGACCGTTTCCGGTCTCACGTCCCGTTAACCATTCCGGTTCAAATTTTCTTGTATCCGTCTCCCTCCCTCTTCATTTCATCATTTGCTTGCATCTATGTGAGAAACAGGAGTTCCATTGTAGGCTTGGAGCTCTCTCTCTCTCTACCACCTTCCCAACAAACACCATTCAATGCCCTCTCCTTCGTCCCACTCAGTTGTCACCGACCTTAGTTATATGCACACTTTACAGTATACAGCTTTAAATAAACCACGTGAACACTATACACACAGTCTCTCTCTATAAAACCCATCCACACTAACGCTACATAATGTACAAAAAGTTGTATAGATACATACAGTGAGAGAGAGAGAGAGAGAGATGTGGTCAACATTTACAGCGCTCTTGGCGCTCGTTCTCTCTCAAAAAACCCTCTCACATGTTTTCTCTCTCCTCCATATCTCTCTTCCCCAAGCCCTAACCCTCCTCTTCTTCCTCTCCCTCTCTCTGCTCCTCATCATACGCAACCGCAACCATACACGCATCTACCTCCTCGACTACACCTGCTACAAACCCCCATCCACCCAAAAATGCCCTCTGGAAAACGTCGAATTCCTCGTTCGCAGAAGCCGAGTCTTCTCTCCCGAATCCGTGTCCTTCATGCGCTCCATCGTCCTAAAATCAGGGATTGGGTCCGAGTCATATGGTGCCCCATTCCTCTTCGCCGAAAACCCCACCCCAAATTTCAACCTTGCCCTTGCGGAGTCACTGGACTCAGTCCTAACAACCACGCTCCAACTTCTCTCTAAAACCAGAACCCAGCCCTCGAGCCTAGGCTCCATAGTGGTCTCATGTGGCATGTTCGCCCCCACTCCCTCTCTCGCTTCCTTTCTAGTAAGCAAACTCGGCTTGACCGAGTCCATAAAGACCTATAATCTATCTGGCATGGGGTGCAGTAGTGGAGCCATAGCGTTGGACCTAGGCTCGAGCCTGGTTCGAACACACCGCTCCCCCGTGCTTGTTGTGGTCACCGAAAATGTAAGCCACAATTGGTATGTCGGCTCCGACAGGTCAATGCTCGTAACCAATTGTATATTTCGAGTTGGGTGCTCGGCCGCTTTATTAACGAGCCAAAAGGCTGGAGCCAAGTTCGAATTGGTCCGAACCATGAGGACCCATCATGGGTCGGACGACTCGGCTTATAAGGCAGCTTTCCAAAGAGAAGACGAGAAGGGGTTGGTTGGTGTGTCTCTCACCAAGGACTTGGTTCGAGTAGCTGGACTGGCTCTTCGAGATCATATACGAGCCTTGGCCCCACACGTGCTACCAATTTCTCAGATGGTTTTGTACGTGTGTAGAACGATACACGCACGTGTGCGTAGAGAGGCAAAGGTGCTCGTGCCTGATTTCATGCATGCTTTTGAGCACGTTTGTATACACACGGGTGGGAAAGCGGTGATAGATCAGGTAGGTATTCAGTAATGGATTGCATTTGTTTTTTAATTCTAGTTTTAGAAAGTATATTTGCGTCAGGGACGCACGCGTGCGGCCCGACGCATCAAACATCCATATTAAAGATGGATGCAAAAAAAAAAAGGTGGTGGCTCAATGGACAAAACGGATGGCCAAGCCTATTAGTCTTGAAAAAGAAATGTCATTTTTAATTTTTAAAATTCAATTTATCTATCTATTAGTAAGGGATCGTTTTTAAAGAGTTCATATATTTTTTATATATGAATGTCACGTCCACTCTTATTCATTAAATATCAGGTATCAAATTGAATGGTTTGCGGTTAGTCACAAAGTCCGATAATTTTTGTATTTAAAACTTTGTGATAATTCAATAATACTATTATAGCCACCCTTTTTTTTGAAATTTATGTGACAAAAATGACTGTGAATGTACAAAAGCTAAACGGTCCCGTGTTGGTACTGTATGTATCTAACAAAAAAACTCCGATATTTTGAACCTTTCAGGTGGGAAAAGTGCTTTGCTTGGATCCCCACGTGCTAGAGCCCGCACATGCCGTTCTTCATAGGTTTGGAAACACGAGTGGGAGCCTTGTGTTTTATGAGATGGCTTACTTGGAGGCAAAGGGAAGAATTAAAAAAGGTGACAGGGTTTGGGTACTGGCCTTTGGAACAGGCTTCAAGGTCTGTTCGCACGTGTGGAAGGCCCTACTTGACACGTGCGGGGAGCCTGATAATCCTTGGATGGATTGCATACACAGATACCCTGTTAACTAGTGCCTACCTAACGAAGGAAAATGGTTTGACAGGAGTGCAGTCCTATCAAAAATAAGTAAATCTTCGTCTTATAATTATTCCAAAATTGTAGTTCAAATCATTACATTAATGATTTTGTCTTGAATATCATGGTCCTCAAAAAAAAAAATCATTACATTAATGATTTTGTCTTGAATATCATGGTCCTCAAAAAAAAAAAAAACATTTTTTTTTTTTGACGAAGGATTTGAAGTGAAGCTTTATTTGTTTTTATAAAGAAAAAAGTTCGTATAAGGTGTCAACCTTAGGTAAGGTGCACGTCAAAATTCATTGAAACTGGTTGTTTCGTCATTAGAAAGCCTTCCAATTGATCATCTCCACTGCAATATGTATGAATATGAAAGAAAAATTAATTTAAAATATTAAGAATAGTACAAACATATTATCTAGACCGTGCATTACCAAGATATTCAAGTGTTCATAGATTTGTTAGATCTACAATATTTCTTGAGCTTTTGATTTCATAATAAGGGCCAAAAAATACATTTTAGTACGATCATAAGAGCTTCGACATCTAAAATACTTCTTATTATGAAGTTTTGGAGTGCACCTTAATTGTTTAAGATTAACCTCACCCTTTTATAAAACCTAGGCCTTAAAGAAAGAGAGTCCATTAAAAAAAGGGAAAATTACCTTCATGCTCATACCCTAAATGAGGGTAAATTACTATATTGCCCCTAACCACATTGGTTTGGATCTCTGTGGAAGGGAGATTACTATTTTGCAACTGGTAGTGCAGTGGGTGTTTCAATACACTGAGCATATGACATGTTCGTTCACTTGAAACACGAGTAATTTGGTAATTATGAAATTAATTGTTCATCGCTTATTTGTTCATCATACTTTAGTGAATTTGTTACTCATGAAATTCTATGAATCTTGGGATCCTTCCAGTTATTTTCTTGTGAGATGAAAGTGATCCGTTTTTGTGGATTAGGTTTTGCCTGTGGATTTGTTTGGGGTGTTGAGATATTTGTTTTTCTCTATAGACTCTAGAGGGAAAAAGAAGCGTCGGAAGATTGCTGGAAAATTGTTTTCTTTTTTTTTTCCTTGGAAAGAGGGGAGAAAAGATTGCAATGGCAGACCTGCGGGGATTTGCCAATTAGTACATACGGTTTTGGAAAGAGTGTAGGTGAGGTTGGATGAGAGGGAGGACAATGAATGAAAAAAAAAAAAAACCCAAAAAATATTCTACTCCCTATCGGTCGACTGTCCATTTACTTCCTCAAGTATAACCTATCTACCATTAGTTTTAGGACTGAAGATATGACCTCTTTAACACAGAGATTAACCTCAATATTTTTTCTTTTCTTTTTTTCCAAATTTCACTTTCTAAAAACTTGAAAACAATCCAATTTTTAGACGGTAGGATCTAAGTGTTAGAAAACACACATTGCAATTTTTCTTTTTTTTTTTTAGAGACGGCTCGTTTGGATCTTAGGGTAAACAAAACCATGTTTTGGATTATAACATAGTTATGCAAACATTGGTTATGCCAAAAACTTGATAATTGAGAAATGACCATTTGGATAGCTTGTAGATAATCCCCAGGTTATGCAAATCCCTCTTTTGGGTCATCTATTTGCATAACTTGGGTTTATAGTATTTAAGGCACATTTGATAGGTATGAAATATTTTCATGGAAAATATTTTCATGTGAAAACTACGTTACACATATTTGGTATATACATGTAAAAACATTTTCCATTATAAAAAATTTTACCAAAATTTTATAGAGAGAAACTAACATTAATCACCTGTAGTGATGTTGAACATGATGAACATGGTTGCTGGGATTGGAGCTAAACTATGGAGGAATGTGAATATGTATCTCTATTAACTTTGGAAAATAATAATAGCACTGAGGTTTTTAATGATTTGCCTATAAGCAAATCTTCAGAAAGCCCATCAAGATGATTTAGATCCTAACAAGAAATTTATTAATCTTGCAGTTTCGCTCTTTAGGAGATCCTATTGTTCAATCTCCCTATAAAATTGGTGAGAATAATTCATCTGAACTTAATATACCAGATAGACCGATAAGAACTAGAGCCCCACTTACGATTTTAGAAAATTTTTATGTATTTTTTAATGAAGACAATTATTCTCTACTTTGTGAAGATACAATAGATGAACTTCAAAGCTACAATGAAGGTACTAGCTCACATAACTCAGCTGAGTGGATCCAAACAAATGGATGATGAATTTGATTCTATTAAAAAAAATCAAATTTGAGAGTTGGTTGAGCTCCCAAAAGATAGGAATATCATTGGTTGCAAATAGGTCCTAAAAAAACAGATTAATGCAAATAGATCCATGGGTAAATATAAAATTACGTTGGTAACTAAAGGATTTACTCAAAAAAAGCGTATAGATCATACAAATAATTATTATCCAATAGCCAATTTTCATTTATTAGGATCATCCTAGCATTAGTTGTATATTATAATCTAGAATTATTTCAAATAGATGTTAAAATAACTTTCTTGAATGGAGAATTAAAATAAGATATAAACATGAAAGAACTAAAAAGATATATAATTAAAAGCCAAAAAGACAAAATATACAAACTTACAAAAACTTTATATGGTCTAAAGGCAGTGATACTTCAACTTTCATAACGCAATCATTGAAATTCATTATGTAACCAATACATTAGACCATTGTATATATGCCTGGAATAATTGGAGCAATTTTATTATTTTATCATTATATGAAAATATTTTTCTAACTGGTAATGACGTTAGCATGATTTAATCACGGCCAAATCCCTACTCTCATGACATCATCATGCATTTTCATGACATGACAAGCTAAGACTGCGATGTCTTACTTTTATAAACATATTTTATTTTATTTTTAATGCTTTCTCATTAGGCTCCCTTATACATTTTCATAGCATCATCATGCCTTTCCAATGGTATGACAAAGTAAGACAGTAATACCCTTTCTTTTCAAAAATCATTTTTCCTATGCCAATGCTAGGCATAGATTTCCCATCATGCCTTTCCATGGCACGACATACCAAGACTACAATGTCGTGTTTTTTTTTTTGTGTTTTTTTTTCTTTCTCAAAAATCATTTTTAATTTTTCGACTGCAATGTCGTGTTTTTCTTTTCTTGCTCAAAATATCATTTTTCATTTTTTTTTTACCTACACAGACATAGAATTCCCATGAAGACTACTCATGTCCCCTTTTCAGAATTTTTTTCTTAAAATTTCATTTTATGAAATTTTTTGCAAAAATACAACATCAAGAGCTCTCTAATTTTTCCCCCTATTTTTAAAAAATCACCATTTTCTTTTTCCAAGAACATCACATTTAATTTTTTTTTTTTCCTTTTTTATTGCAAATCACCTAACATGTTAATCAAAAAAAAAATTTACTTTTTTATTTATTTATTATACTTTTCAAAATCACCCCCTTTTTATTTTTTCTTTTTTCCTTTTTTTTTTTATCAAGACCCAAACAATATTTTCATTTTAATTTTCCAATGTTCATAAAATTCACCTTTAAAAATTGGAATCAATAGTTGAGAAATATTTATACTACTAAGGGGTGCTTTATGGAATAAAACAAGAAATTAAATCAAGATATTTAAATCTCTAACATCTTTCCCATGAATTTTGTCTCTGACCTGCTAATCCTAAAATTTGACACCAACGTGTATCACTTTGGCAACCCAACACCTATCTCTTTGACAACTAGTGATTTTTTTATCCTTTTTTGGCTACCCGTGATCTTCAATACCTATCTTTTTGACAACATGGGCTCTCCAATGTTTATTCTTTTTACACAACCTCGGCTCTCTAGTGCCTATACTTCAAATAACGTGGGCTCTGATACCATGTTGAAATTTTACATACGCTCTGATACCCTGTTGAAACTTTACATACGCTCTGATACCATGTTGAAATTTTTTGGATAAAAATTGATACCGTTGTGGGTATCTTTTAGAAAGATGTGGGTGCTTCTACAGTATTTTGTTACTTTAACAAAAAAATATGCACTCTTTTTTAAAGAGATAATCGCAATCTCACAAAGTTATCACTGATATCTCATTTCACAGGTTACAATTATTCTATTACATGTGCCTATATATAGGTGTTTACGCCAATTTTGAAACTACCCACGACTCAAGCTGCCTACAAATCTACGTCATTAGATAACTTCTTACAAACCTACGTTATTTGATAACTCCCCACAAAACCTACGTGATAAGATCTAATCACTCCCCACAAAACCTATGTGATTAGAACTCCCCACAAAACCTATGTGATTAGAACTCCCCACAAACCTGCGTGATTAGAAAACTCCTCATAAAATAACTAACCACCAACACCCACTAACATAGAGAGAAATACCCATATTTGTTAAAAAACAGAACAGAGAGAAAAATACACATAACTTACTACTAGATTAGACTCAGACCACACGTCCTTAATTTTTGCACACACGTCCTTAATTTTTGCATCATTTTCAACATGCTGCATGCTCTCATTCCTATTTGCCAATTAATTACACGTCTAATATCACATTTGACATTTATGAGCCACTACGACTGATCCTCGATTCCATTTGCATGCTGCAACTCATTATGCAACACTGTGAAGTATAGACGCAAAATCTAAGCGCAATTCAATGTATAGAACAAAAAATAAAATTTGAAATACCAAATGCATATTTAAAACTGAGGCATAAATATAAAATATTAAGGATATTTTTCAATTCTTAAAAATATAAGAAATGTTTATATAAGTTACCAAGAACTCAACTGCCTAAAAATATTGAGATTTTGTACTGGCAATGAAATTAGAGCCTGAAATTTCAAAGGCTTCGGCTCGAGACCAAATATAAACACTTAACAAGTACTCTCACCCTATAAATAAAATCATCATCCAAAGTTGAATACGAACAAATTTATGCAAATTAGGATTATAGCATATTCCCAGGTACCATAAATACACTACTCCCTCGGAAAAAGACCTACTAGGACAGATTTGTTATAAATAAAAATTTAAAACGTACTTTAAAATAAACTAATAAAAAAAACTAACGACCATTCACAACTATAACTTGGATTTTGACGTCCTAACCACTTATGTCTTGTTGTTTAATAATTAGATGATCAATTTTCAATCCTAGGATGTTACTTTTTTTAAAAGTATCTATTATTACTCTTGCTATTATTTTGAGGTTGTTTACAAGATTGATGATGTAACAAAATTTTGGGGACTAGAAATGCTTCGAGTATGGATTTTAGATAAGGAAAAAGTTTATAAAGGCAAGACCCTAAACAATTAAATCAAGAAACCTCAAAAATCCACTAGAAAAGATTATTTTGATGCTCAAATCGGCCGCAAGATGTGTGGACATGACAAAAAATGGATTTCAAGTATTGACATGGTCAATTTGGACGGTCAATTTTTTAGATTTTTCAAGCATTCATAGATTTGCTCGATCTATACTATTTTTTAAACTTTAAATTTTATAATTAATTATGAAAATAAAGTTGCAAACCATCACCAAGATTTTCACTACCAAAATACATAGTCCGACAATATTTCACTGACTTTGGAAAATGGTTGTTGGGATTGGATCAAAACTATAAAGGTAAATCTATACTTCTAACTGACTTTGGAAAATAATAATCACACAAAGGTTTGTAATTATTTGCTTATAAGCACATCCCTAAAAAGCCCACCAAAGAGACTTAAATTCTTACAAAGAATTTTTTAATCATATTGTTTCGCTCTTTTTGTTGCAGATCAACCAAGTTTTAAAGAAGCAATTGAGAGTGAAGAATGGTGAGAGGCATGAAAGAAGAAATGATGGCCATTGAAAGAAATCAGGAGTTAGTAGACTTACCTCAAGGGAAAGTCACAATTACGATGAAATGGATCTTCAAAACAAAACACAATACTGATGGAAGTATACAAAAGCATAAAAGTTCAATTAGTGACAAAAAGATACACACATCAGCAAGAGATTAATTTCTTTAAAACATTTTTCCCTAATGCAAGATTAAAAACTGCATTCAAAGACATTCTGAAGATCAATGACTCCCCAAAACTCTCTTTTTGTTGTGTTCATGGAGATGCCAAGAGCAGTACCGACTCAATAAGGTAGGTTCAGCAAGATATAAGCTTATCTATAAGGATCACCTTTCTATCCTATGTTGCGAGTTGTGTATGCGCCATACAAGTTAAATCTACGTAACTATGCTAATAAGAATCATTTATAAAATAGACAAAACGATAGTTCACTAAACCACAACATCATACATCCAGGAAACCAAGAAAGTTCAACGTAAACCTCACACAAGACCAACTGCAATAATTAAATCAACAGACAAGTTAACGGAGTTCTAATTAATAGCATGGCGACAAGAATATACATACATTTAACTAACTAAAGTACAAATCCAGAGGAATGCAATGATAAATTGAATATAAGAAGTAAAAATCTGGTTAATAACAAGATAAATTATTCGAAAAGTATTCAAAGGAGATCATTTACCCTTTAGTACAAGATGGTCACCAGTAAGATTTGACCCGTGAAATTTGATGGCTGCATTTATTTTATTGCCCAAGCTCAAACTTCAAAAAAAATTACACACCCAAGCTATCAGATTTTACATCGGATGGTTATAAATAATTGTGACCTCCTTATATCCAAGTTAAATGGTCTCATTGCATACAATCCTTAAATTATTACTTGTTATACATAAGAGTAAGTACGATAAGTGGAGGCAAAATGTGATCAGAATGCTATAAGCTGCATCTTCAGATACCAGGGAATAGGCTAATCGTAGTACGCAACAGAGTATAAGCAATTGATTACAATTTCACTGTATTTCAGCCAAATTCAAGTTTGTCAGTCAAAATCAACAGTGAACTTCCAGGCAAAGGCCTTTACGATTTAGTCCCCACATCCGTTCCGAACCACACAGCCTTGGAGAGAGAAACCCCTTAACAGAAAAGTTTTGGTTGAAATTGACCAAGACAAGGAAATTTCAGTATTTTGGTGCAACCAGCAACATTTTCAACTAAAAAAGTACCCAACACTCATCCCATTTGTAAGCTATCGATCATAAATTTCATTTCTCATAAACCACTATCTGCCAAACCTGTTATAAATATGAAATCTAAATTGAGGTCCTGGGAGCATACCAATCAGGAATTCATAATTTTGGGGTCTTTGTGAAACCACAAGTTAATAATTTTTGAGTTTAAGCTCAATGAACTACTTATCAAAATAAAAGGGAAAAAACCTTCAGAAGTAAACTGCAAAGAATTAGATGCAAGTTGTTATGGCAATTCTATTAATTAATTTATGTATTGCGTACACTATAATACATAAGTTGATGTAACAAGCATACACACACTACACTGCTGTATGCTTTAGAACAAGTTTTCCATCATCTGGGAAACTCATGTTCCCACCAGAACATATATCCCCCACCAAGAACCAACAGGCCATGAAACTCCATCAATTGATTTGTCTGAGCTGGGCAAAAACAAAAACTTGTCACGCCGCAACTGTATTTAACCAAATCTTGAGTATATTATTTTCTTGGAATAATCAACAGTTAAGTACTCTCAGGGAAGCAAGAAAAAAAAAAGGACGTTTCCGATCAAAAACTTGGTCTGGTTCATAAGCTAAATTTCCAAATAATCGATTCACTCAAGAGAAAGTTGGAGTAACTTGCACGCAACAGTTTCTTTTCTACTACTTTTTTTTTCGTTTTTCTTTTGTTGTTTTTTTGGGGGCGGGGGGGAGTATGGTCATTAATTTCTATAAAGACTTAAGACTCCGAGTTTTCTTAAAATAAACAAATGGACAAAGACAAAAATGCTTAAAATCCCAAAGAGAAAATAGAGGAAATAATAGCATGAGATTTCGACCATGAAAACCTACATGCACAGATTATGTTACCTCAAATGGCAATGATGATGGAGGCCGAACCCAGATTGCACTTCCCAACAATAAAACAAATGTCAACCATAATGATAATACTTAGTTATGTCAGACACCGAAGTGCTGGAATGGATGTGAATAAGGAAACCAGAAAATAATTTTGGCAAAAATTGGATAGCACATATGCTAGGCATGCACATATATATTTGGGTGCAAGCATGTGGGTGTGAATAGTTCTTCAACTGATAAATAAAGTAAAAAATATTCAATCTTCAAAGTGGCACTAATGCCATTAATGAAAAGCTAAACATGACATAATCATTCGATAAGTAACAAATCACTCACATGCCTCCCAGAGAAGACAGAAGCAATGACTGAAAAGATAATTAACAAAATAAAATTTGGTGGTCGAAAAGGTTTCGTAGTAAAAACAAATAAGGTAGATGGAAGAAGATTCAGGAACATATGAGAGCTTTATACCACCACTGCAATGACTAAATTCCAATTAGATTCTAGGATTTTACTTGGCTCGCAATATGGAAGAAGAGATTGAAGTGCTTACATGATTTGCATGCATGTAAAACACAAAGCATCTGAGATCTTCTACTACAGAAGTAAAATGAAAGAGAAAACATTTGAAAAAAGATAGTGAAAAATGAAAAAAAAAACTAAAAAAGTCACGCTATTCTGTTCATCTTCGAACCATTAAAGGGTGAGGCACCAACAAATCACAGAAGCTGTCAATGTCACTCATTTTCCTCCACACATGTAGCCTCCACCTTAGGCTCCTTGTGGTCAGCTAATATCATCCAAGATACTTCAAGTTATGTAATTATCCAACTCTTTGGCTAACCCTCTCATTTTTCATGGTCTGCTTGATGTCTAGCATACTTCCCTCCATACAAGATCAAAGTCCCTTCTCCCTTCCTCAGCTGAATCTGGAAATACCTCCGAAATGCCCCACCATGCTCCCCCATTCAACAGCATTACACTAATATTCTACAGTACCAGAATGATATTCCTACCACTTAAGACACATGCAGAACCAATTTTCCACTTTACTCCTACGATGATCCTTACAATACCAAACATAATCTCCTTTCCTCAAAGCTATTGTTTTGTCCACTCTTCCAAAATCACCATATGTCTCCACACCTAAACCATCTAAAATATACTCCTCTATTCTAATTGCGACTTCTCAACCTTCTCCTACCATTACACTTTATCTAAATAAAATAAAATAAGTAAAATAAAACGAAACAGAAACCCTTGCATCAAAAAATCCCCAAAGCTGCAGGCTCAACTAAAATATTGGACCCCGGCCACATTCACACCCTTAAAATTCCCATTCCATGCCATTCTCAGAACAAACATTCACATTCCATGTCCTCCATGATAGATGGCCTAGTCAGTCTTTGTGCTGTGCCCTTTCTCCCTTTCTAATCAACTTCCTATCCCTAATCCTCAAGTCTTTGTCTATAAAATCATTTAATAATAAATTTCAGCAAATTCAATAACATCTATTCACATGGAAATAATTTTCTTGTCAATTAATGAAAGGCATCGTTACAAAACTTAATCTAAGGGAATATGAGTTAACGATTCTCATAAATTAAAAGAATGTAACCATTCAAAACTTTTATATAAAGAGGATAGTACCCATAAGAATGACAAAGATCAGAAACAAACAGAATTTCCCATATATAATGAGCAACTGAAGTGTTTGTGTCTGTGGCATACAGATGTAAGTAGACATGTTTTTGGTAAATAACTGAGGGACACTATCTACAACCAAGTTGCAGCGGAAGCTCAACAATCAAGAAATATAGTCAAAGACTTCCTACAAAAAATTAGTGTGCCCAAGGCACAAACCGTTACTCTCAACCATATTTGCATGTAATGTTAAATGATTACAAAGAATGGCATGTATGAACAGGTGGAGAGCACACCTTTTATACACACACAGAGAAGGATCACACGAAGAACAGGTGCAGGCAAGCTTGTGCAAATACACACACACATAGTTATATGCATACACATACAAAGACCATTGAGTTCACATGCATAGATAAACATACTACAAACATCATACATGTGAACATGCACATAAACAGACACATAAAGACATAATATCACATAAGAATTCAATTGTTGCAACTGAAGGTGCAAGAAAGAGAATAACCTAAATACTGGATGCATGCTATTGGAAGTCAAAACATTCCAAAATCTTAAAAAAGAAAAATGAAAAGCAAACAGCAACTTGATTGAAAGCACAAAGTGTAAAAGATCATGAGGACTGGTACACCCTATAAGATATGCATCACAATAGCATGAGTATCACAACAAGTGCAGATTTCTTATGGATTGTCAACACTGTGAATACCAATCTCCCCCTTATCCTGGCACAAATGAACAGAAAATATTATAGCTGGGCACAATAAATATAATTTGGAATTAAAAAATCAAATCCTTCCTGCTTAAAAGTTAGAACTGGCAAAGAGTACCAAAGTCAAGTGTGCAAAAGCTCACTGCTAAAGCGACGTCATTCATCGATGAAAGGACTGTTAGTAATAGTGGATGTGATAAATGATAATATAAAAACTCAGTCTCACCGTGCAATTTGAATCTAAACCAAATAAAGCACTCAAGGAATAAAGCCCATGTTAATATCATGAATACAAAAGCATATATATAGTATCAAATAATGCCAAATAACACAATAATGTAACTCAATGATTAAACCCTCCTGCATGCTTAAAAGAATAGGATCGTAAGCGGTTAGAATATCTGATGCATCAGAGGAAAACACTTAAAAAGGGAAAAAGAAACTAAGATGAAAGAAAGAGGAGATGAGTGGTAGGGGAAGAGACAGAAATATATGACCACTCGCTTGTTGGGTCTATATCCAAAAAACAAAACAAAAGTTAAAACAACAAAAATTATAAGGTATTAATCACTAACTATTAAACAACCCATTATGATGCGGAAACCACAACTGCAGTTCCCAAATAAACTCCTCTGCTTGTTTGATCTGCAATGCTCTGCAACTGTCATAACAGCATATCAAGGTTAAACAGGTAAGTCCCAAACTTCCAAATAGTTGTGAGTCATAGCTACAGGTATGAAATCAGGGTCACAATAGCTCCAAGAAACCTATGCCTGCCAAAACCCAAGCATAACCAGAAGGGAGTTTAAGAATCACAGGAGATTATCTGTTTACAATAATTGAGTATATTTTTCAAGAAAATAAAAAAAAATTATTCAATGGCAGCAATTGTTGAATCCACAACACAGGCTGAAACAATAAGGACCTGAATTTCATAATGTAAACTATATATACTCATTCAAAATTTAAAAAAATTCAGCGTTTCAGGATGATGGTCCAAACATCTAGGTTGTATGATCTTTTTAAAGCCCCGTGTGAAATCAAGTACCTGAAACGTTATTTCCTGAAAGGCTATTTCAAGCAAAGATTGAAATCTAAAAAGAACAAAGAACAAAGATGCAATATCCTGAAAGCAACATGTGCAGATTCCTGAAACGTTATCTCATATAAGATTTTTAATAAGTTCTGCAATTGATAGAAGTTTCCACTTTTGATTGCTGGCTAATGTAAATTTCTTTCAAAAACCTTATATATGGGAAGTGTTGCTTCACGATTCCCAGCATTTGGCATATAGGATATTTAGCGTAACACTGTGAAGATGTAAATGAATGTATACTGAAGGAACACAAAACTTATAAATTTGACCAGGCATGATTATTGCACTAGCAACAAGAGTTTTGAGAAAGCCACATCTAGTAAAATGATTTTCAATTATAATCTTACATACAATTAAAAGAAAAAATTTATCATCTTACATATGTTCAATAGCATAAGTTGTTTTAAAAATTTATCATCTTACATAAGTTCAGTAGCATAAGTTATTTTGCAGAATGTTCATTTCGTAGCTATCCTAAACAATTCTATGTTATAGAGAGTTATAAACCAGTAACATATCATCATCTTCATCTGAGCCTTATCCCAACAATTTGGGGTCAGCTAGACCAGAAACACATAACTAAATTATTAATGACTAGCAACTTGAGACAATATGATAGTTTTAGTGAAAACAAAATTCGTTTTTTAAAGTTAAAGGCAACCCACAAGGAGCTTTGACACAGATTTGCTGAGACTTCCATAAGATTGTGGAGGTATCTATCCCTTTTCTTTTCTTTTTGGAAACGACATACATAAATCACATTGATGCTTTTACAAACTTCAGTTTTACCTCAAGCACTAGGCAGAAGCGAGGTAAAGAGGATACTCTCCTACAAACTTAGAGTTTTAGGCTGTGATATTCATTAGTAACTATTGAAAAATAACTGAAGATCAATGGGAAAAGGCATCTGCAACTAGGCACAGAAGAATGCTACCACCACAGCTCAAGGCAGCATCCATGTAGCCCAATCACACACTTCAGTAAAGTTGAAGCAGATCCATTAAGGATGTGGATACAAATGTTCATGCTCCTGCATTTGGCATTCACAAAGTAATGCAAAATACACTTTGTTGTGGGGAAATTCTCAATTTCCCATAACACCCCCATGACCCAAGAAAGCGAGCAACTCTTGCATTTTACACATGCACATGTGACTTCTCTAGAAATCTAAGAACCACATTGGAGGTATAGGGAGTTACTCAAGATTAGTGAGGCTACTCCCTCAAATCACTAGGTATTGGCTAATGTAGCTCTTAAGGTGACGATGGTAATGCACGTAAAATTAACAGACTCTTTAATAATCTCATGAATTAAACCATTGAATGGTAATTCAGAACGGAAAAAATCCAGTACTTCATATGCCTACAGTTTGGTGTACTTACCCAACATACACCATCCCTACTTATCCATGAAAAGAGGGAGCTTTCAAGGCTAATGTTGGGTGTGAGTACCTAATACTATACTCTTCAAAGTATACAGTCCCAATTGAGACGGTACATCATAATAACAGAGTAACGCCATTAAAAAGAAATGTCAGGATGCAAACCATCATAAATGCAACTCATGTTATTCATTTCTAGATAACTAGACATGAAGACCAAAGTCAATCTTCTCTATGTGAAACGTGAAATAACAAAAATCTGATTATGGTATAAGAGTAAAGCTCCAGGAAATCACAAGGAATGGTATAGGAGGCTAAATTGAATAAATGTTTCTATCCTGACCACCACTCAAAGAAGAAAATTTTCTAGGGACGTACTCTACTGACAAATGAAGTGGTAATTGCAAAACGAAAATCGCTTTCTCAAACAAAAAATGACCTATGAGGCATGATGCCAAAAAATGGTTCAAAAGAAATATGCATGTATGAACATACGTTGCAAACACACCTTTCTTGATCGAGGAACTCCAAGCAGAAAATGTATCACTTCATTTCCGACATAAACTTCTCATACTCTGCATCCCCACCATAACTAGTCTCCGCCGATGAAACATTCTGAGGAGGCACAGAAGCATTGGAGGCCCACGGTACACCACCAATTCCCTTTGATCCATCCACCATAGGAGCACTCATATTAGGCGCTGGCGGTGTCGGCGCCATCCCATAGTAAGATGCATAACCCATCAAAGGGGTAGCGTACCCTTGAGACCCACCATAGACAACCCCACCCCCTTGCACTCCACCTTGTGCTTGCATTCCAAGAGAAGGAGCACTTTGAACCAAAGGAGAAGAAGAGGGCAACAAGCCCGGTTGATACGAACCCATCCCTTGGTATTGCACACCATAGGGTGGAGGAGCCGAACCATACACACCTGACCCAGGCGCATGAGAGACATAAGGATTATAGGATTGAGGTGGGGATGGGCCCCAAGGGACCGGTGCACCTCCACCATAGGATTGGGGTGTGGACCCCATCGGGTTAAAATGCTGTGCCGTATATGCAACACTTGTCGCATCAGGATTAGGTGGAGCGGTGGTGATGGTGGTCACAGGAGGGCCCGTAGGCGGCTTGCCTGCCACTCTCACTGCAATTACCCGCCCTTCCAAACGATATCCATTCATGCTAGCAGTAGCCTGGATGGCTTGCGTCACATCTGAGTATTTCACAAAACCATAGCCTTTGCTCAATCCAGTGATCCTATCTTTGATAACCTTAGCCATAACTATCTCGCCAAAAGGGGAGAAAAGCCTAATCAAACCATCATCATCTAAATTCGGAGGCAAATATCCAATGTATAGATTGGTGTCATCGTACTCCTTAACCGCAGTTTTCATTCCATTTGCTTGTGTTTGAGCCATGCTACCTAAACCTGGGTTAGTGCTAGACCAGGGGGGATTCGTGGTGCTGTTACCTGATGTGTTTGAAGAGGGGCCATTAAGGATTAAGAGAGGTTGGCTCTGGTTTTGTCTGGTTTCTGGCAATGATCCACCTCCCAATTCAGCCAAGAAATTTTGATATTCATCATCCATCTTCTTTCCTGATCCTTTCATGGGGCAATCAATAGTTGGGTGACCTCCATCTCCACAAATCTTACACAAAACATCGCTTTTAAATGTAGAAGTTCGAGCTGGACAAGCATACTGTCTATGACCTGGTTCACCACAAAGCCTGCAAAATTCATCATCTCTAATGGTTCCATTAAGAGCTGCAAGCTCTCGAAGTTGCTGCCTTTTGTGCTCATTAAGCCCTTCATCTACAGGTTGTAAAAGCTTCTCCACCATTCCAGCTGCTGCATCCAAAGCTTCTTGCGTCTCAGCCTCAACCAAAACATGTAAGTCCTCATTCTCACTTGGGTCTGGTTTCAAATCCCTCTTTTGTTGTAACCTCCCTTCCTTAACCGAACCCTTTCCTCGAATCACTATCTTAGCTCCTGTTTCTTTCTCCATTCTCTTTTGTGTATTGCCTCTTGGACCAATAATCAACCCAATAAAATTGTAGCCTGGATACTCTTTCATGGGTATGTAAAGCTTCTTCTGAAGCTTTGGTGGCCTGTAATCAGCAGGTGGTTTGAAAGCTGGGTTCTTCTTGATAAGTTGAGAAATTATCTCCTGTCTCTCTCTGTTCAATCGCTCTCGTGCTCGATACTCCCTGGTATTGATCCGAATCCCCATGTTATCATAGACTGGTTCCGGAGAAGGGGATCGAGCACCTTCAGGTCTGTCATCTAATGGTAAACCAGACTGTAAAAGCCTGGTTATATCGAGCAACCTGATATTTAGAGCTTGAACTTCAGGGTCAAGCTCCATGCCACCAGTAAGTTCCTTCATGAAATCAGGCAGCTGAATTAATGGTTTCGGTTCCTCATCTGCCCACCTGGTTTTCCGCCGACGACCACCAGAATCTGGCAAGGATTCACCCGATTCTGGCTGTTCCCATCGACTTCGACGTCTTCTCTTGCTGCTCGTTTCCTCTTCTCCACCTGAAAATTCACGATCAGTGCCACTCCTTGTGGTGGTTAAGCCACCATTCTCCGATACTAAGGGTTTCTCAGATGGTTTGGGGTTCTGATAAGGGTTTTCAGGCTGGTTCTCAGTGTGGTTGGGATCTGGTTGGTCATTGGGGCTTTCAGATAGGTTAGGTGTCTGCTTAGGGTTTTCAGAGAGACTTGGATCCGGCTCTGCATAACTATGGGGTGGATCAGGGTTTCGTTCTCCATGATCTTGATCTGGTTTTTCACAGTTCTGAATCGGATGAGGTTTTGGTTCTTCAAGGTTGTCTCCAAAATTAGGGCCTTCGCCATGGTTGTAGGTCAAATCAAGGTTTTCTGCGTGGCTTTGGGTCAGGGTAGGGGTTTCTCCATTGCTGCAGGGGGTTTTCGTGTCGGCTTCACGGATGGGGGTGAGGTTGAGGTCTGGTTGTTCAT